ATGTCTGGGAACTGAAGTCCTCATTCTCCCTCTACACTGCAGAGTAAACTTTATTGCCAGTGAAATGGGTAAGGCCGAACAGTGTGGCAGTGTGTGGAGCAGATCTGAAGATAGCACACTTCAAAAAAGAGGGCTTCCCTGCTCAGCCAAGGTTTCCCAAAGCACTGAGTTCCCTTGACCTTGGCAGCAAACTTCTCTAATCTTAATTTTGTTTTTAATGTTGGACTTTTTATTATTATTTTTTAAGACAGGGTCTCAGTCACCCTGGGTAGAGCACCATGGCGTCATAGCTCACACAAGCTCTTGGGCTCAAGTGATCCTCTTGCCTCAGCCTCCCGAGTAGCTGGGACTACAGAGGCCTGCCATGACACCTGGTTAGTTTTTCTACCTTTAGTAAAGTCAGGGTCTCTCTCTTGCTTAGGCTGGTCTCAAACTCCCAAGTGCCAAGCCCTAATCTTTTTTTTTTTTTTTTTTGGAGACAGAGTCTCACTTTGTTGTCCTTGGTAGAGTGGCATGGTGTTGTAGCTCACAGCAACCTCAAACTCTTCCGCTCAAGCAATTCTCTTGCCTCAGTCTCTGGAGTAGCTGGGACTACTTAGTACATTTGAATTAGCAACCCCTGAGTGCCATGTAGGCTTAATATGGACTTGGATTTAAACTTTTCTCAGTGTGATGGAATCATAAAGAAGGGCATTAAGTGACAAGAGTAATTCAATATAATTTTTTTTTCTTTTTTGAGGCAGAGACTCACTATGTTGCCCTCAATAGAGTACTGTGGTAACACAACTCACAGCAACCTCAAACTCTTGGCCTTAAGTGATTCTCTTGCTTCAGCCTCCCAAATAGCTGGGACTACAGGTACCCACCACAACGCCCAGCTATTTTTTTGTTGTAGTTGTTTTTAGCTGTTGTTTAGCTGGTCCAGGCCAGGTTCAAACCTGCCACCCTTGGTGTATGTGGCTGGCACTATAACCACTGTGCTATGGATGCCAAGCCCTAAATTTTCTTTTATTGAGACAGAGTCTCACTTTGTTGCCCTCTGTAGGGTGCAATGACATCATAGCCCACAGCAACCTTAAACTCTTGGCCTCAAGTGATTCTCTTGCCTCAGCCTCCCTAGTAGCTGGGACTATATGCACTTGCCACAACAACCAGCTATTCTTTCTTTTTGTTTAGCAGGCCTGGGCCAGGTTCGAACCCACTAGTCCCAGTGCATGTGACTGGCACCCTAACCACTGAGCTATGGGCAGAGCCTGATCTACATTTTTAAGATCATTCTGACTTTGTTGAGAATACACTGAGGCTTAAGTAGGTGGATGGGCAACAAAGAGAGAGATGTTGGTGCCTAACGGCCAGTGGAGACAGAAAAAAAGTGGACAAATCCTGGGTGTATTTTAAAGGTAAAGCTGAGAGGATTTAACTAATGCATCAAGTGAAGGAGAGGGAATGAAGGGTTTGCCTTGAGCATCTAGGTGCCCTTTACTGAGACAGGGAAGATGAGGGACAGTTTGGGGAAGAAAATCAAAGCTATTTGAGACTTATTAAATTTAGGACACCTATTAAATGTGTGAGTGGAATGTTAGGTAGGCAGTTAGATGAGCCAGCAGCTTAGGAAGAAGGTCAAGGCTGGGGATATAAATTGAGAGTTCTCAGTACATGGGGGTGATGCTTAAACCCATGGGAATGAATGGATGAGATTACTGAGGGAATAAATGTAGTTATAAAATAGAATGCATTGAGTTCCAGGACTTTTTGGTGTGTGGTCAAATTTAAATCTTCTAAATTCCCAGTATCATACAGGCTGGGAGGCTGAGCCAGGAGTTTGAGGTTGCTGTGAGCTAAGGCCATGGCACTCTAGCCTGGGTAAAAGTGACATTCTGTCTGCCCCCAGCCCCCCCCCCCAAAAAAAGCCTCCCTCCAACCTGTCCTTCCATGAAACCTCACAAAATCCGCAATACTCATAACTTAAATTATGGCTTAGAAAGAGAAATGGAAATATATAGGTTCCATAAAGCCAGTGCCAAAGAAATGACAAAATACCACGGCGATGAGTGTATCAAGGTTCTAGGGACAGTAAGATCAGATAACATGTTTGAGTATACTAAGCCAATGCAGAGATCTAATGTTGGAGAGGACTGTCCAGTGTTTAATGGACTCTTGAGTTTTATCAGCTCTCAACTGGTAGCTCAGTTGCTGGGGCCATGAAATTAAACCAACAACAAACTGATAGGACTGTTAATTGGGCAGATTTACATGATGGTAAGAGGTCAGAAGCATTGGGGTTCTGTTAACGATACTGTGCTTGCCCTTCTTGAATTACTAAAGTAGGTTAATTTATGTTGATACTTTGCTTATGATAAAATGTTTTAATTAAAACAGAAAAATGCAAAATTTCATTAATCTTTATAAATATTGACTACACCCTGAAATGTTAATATTTTGGATACATTGGACTAAATAAAATACATAAAGTGGGCACAGGGCCTCATGCTTATAGTCTCAGCTACTTGAGAAGCTCAGGTGCATCACTTGAGCCCAGGACTTTCAGGCTGCAGTGAGCTATGACCAGGCCGCTGTACTCCAGCCTGGGTAACAGAATGTGACTCCCAATATTAAAAAACAAAAACCCCATTAAAACAATTTCCACTTAGAAAATGTAAAATATAAATGTGGCTTAGACTAGTGTTCCTCTAGATCATTAGCTATATAACTAGGCCCATCATTCCAACCACATTTGAACATTCTTACTGAAATAATAAAGTGATGAATAAAGGTAAATTGATTGTGGGTTCATACATTTGAGACAGACATGCACTCTGTGTCATCAAACTGAAGTTGCTATTCACTATCAGCTGGCAGCTCAGTTCCAAAAGCAACAGGACAATGAACTGGCAACACAAAGCAGCTGCTCAGTGTTAGTTAACTTCTTTAGGCATTCACGCTTCAGCAAAACCTTGAGTCTCATCTTTATCCTCCGTTTTCCTTCTTTCACTTCTAGTCACTAAAATGTTAGCCCTTCCTGTGAAACCCTTTTAGTTATGTCCCTTTTCTCCCAGTCCTTATCTAATTAAAAGGTTTAGTTACCTTGCTTTTGAAAATTTAGTTTTCTGGTAGTATCCCAGCTTCCTTCTGTGTTTCTTCCATTCTATATACTGCAACTAGTCTCCCAAGATATATCTTTGTTCAACACCTCCAGTTTGTTTCAACACTGCCTGTAGGAAGGATTCTTTCATCTAGCAGTCAAGGCTTTTCAGAATTTCTTTTTTTTTTGAGACGGAGCCTCAAGCTGTCCCCCTGGGTAGAGTGCCGTGGCTTTACAGCTCACAGCAACCTCCAACTCCTGGGCTCAAG